ATGCAAAACTGAGAGTAAGAGTATGCTGACATTGCAGTCAGAGAAGTGGCCTCCAGGGACGAGAAGCAGCCTGGGTTCTATGGCATTAGGACTTCAGGTAGTAGGCTGACTGTCAATATGGATTAGAAATGCAAGAGAGCTGTTGCTTGATCCATCACTTATTCTTTGCTTTAGGGGAGACATAGCAATTGCTTTATAAAGGATTTTGGGAATCTTATACAAAAAGGCAAGCAACTGAAAGCTAGCAAAAGTACACTAAGCCATTGCTACAGCATGTCTGATGGACATAATGCCCATTGACAGCAGCAGTGCCACAGGGAGAGACCATTCTCTGTTTAAGCTGTCAATGCCAGTAATTTGATGCAGAAGTATCCTTTCAAATTATTTTTAAGGAGAAGGCAATATACTTTACAAAAATAACTTGTAAATTTCTAATAAAATTACAGATTTTCCGTATTTCTGAAGTCAAGCAATCTGCATGTCACTACAGAATTACCACAAACTTGTCGATTATGTTCATATTTGAGGACCATAAACTTTGTACAGAGTTTTAAATGAATGTATATGCTTGTCACTAGAGTAAAAAGCTTTGTTCTCTAAAACAGTACATCATAAACTTTATTATGCATAAGAATCTGGAGGTCATATTAAAATGAAAGTTTGTATTCATTAGGCCTGGACTGGAACTTCACAAATTCTCAGGTAATCCCAAAGCTGCAGGGTCAAGTGCCATACTGAACAGTGAGGTTTTAAGATATTGGGCTTTAAATAAATAAATGCATCAGAAATGCTTCTTCTTTTATAAACTCACTGATTATAAGATGTTCTAGTGAACCACTTAAAGCCTAGAAAACACATCTATGAATGTGAGTAAACTCGAGTCCTAAAACTGCCATTTCATTTTTTCTTACCTTAAAGATGGTACAGTATAGATAATTGGGTTTTTACTGACTAGTGTGATATAGCTGTTCTCTTTTTGGTAATGATTTACTGATGAGTCTGTTTATTTTCCCTAAGCTTCACTAAGGTATAACCAGCAAATAAAGATTGTATGTATTTACAGTTTACATTGTAATGTTTTGGTGTATGTATTATTAAATCAAACTAATTTTCATATCCATCGTCTTATATACCATTTCTTTTTTTGTGATGTGAGTATTTGTGATCTAATTGCTTGGCAGTTTTCTAGTGCATTATTAACTCTAGTCACCATGCTGTATGATAAGTCTTAGTGGATGGTCAATGTGTTGGAATATCTGGAACCATGCCAAAGCACGTAAAGAGAACTGAAAGAAGTTCTTACTGGGGTTCAGGGCAGCTGTTGAGCAGAGGTGCAGAGGAGCTCCTGTGATGGGCAGGGCAGATCCACTTCCAGTATTTGTTCTAGGTCTTCAAATTTTTACCGAGTATCGTGTTTTCTCAATCAAATACTTAAGTCCAAATTGTCATATTCCTTGTTTTAACCTTTTCTTATCAAACTTGCTAAAACTGTTTGTTTGCTGTCCTCCTTTACCTCTTTTCCCATTTCTCATCTGAGAATAATACGTTCACATTCTGTAGAAAGTGCTCTAGGAGTTCACACGAGACAAATGAATCACTGTTATCTGGGACCATGAAAAATGTCTTTGTAGAAAGGTAGCTTTTGACTTGATACTGACAACTAGGTAGCCTTTTCTAGCTGCTCCAACAGTGATCATGCATAACATGAGCAGGGTGGAGGCAGGAGAACAGTGAGATGCATTTTAGGAATTGCAGGGACTGTCAACTTTTTGCATTTCTGAATTTATAATTTAAAGGGTCTGGACTATTTGTGAGTGACCTTTGAAAAGGTCATACAGCATTTCTGAGTTGATGATTTTATTCTTTTGGGCAGAGCTTAGTGTTGCCAGTACATCGTGAGGCTAGTGATTTCCCTAGCAGTCACAGCCTTACTCCTCTATCCACTCTTACATCTTGTCTTGTCCTAGCACGTTAGATGAGGAGGCAATGCATCAAGATTAGGATTGGTAAAGATCACTGTACAGTTCCTTTCAGTTTCTAAGGCTTGTTTGCTACAGTGATTTGATATAACTTTTTGCCGAAAAAACTGCCTATAGACAGATCTCAGTGAGTTCAAGGCCAGCCTGGTCTACAAAGCGAGTTCCAGGACAACCAGGACTGTTACACAGAGAAACCCTGTCTCGAAAAACCAAAAACAAACAAACAAGCAAACAAACAAACAAAACAAACCCCAAAACCAAACCAACACAAAACAAAAAAACTTGCCTGTAGAGGGAAAGGATTGGTATTAACTATATAAAGCTCCAAGACAATGGGCTTAAACTGGGGTCTCTTAAGAGAGTTTATTTATGTCTGATGTGTGTGTGTGTGTGTGTGTGTGTGTGTGTGTGTAGAATGAATGTGTCTGGTGGAGCTTGGTAGCATTCAAATAAACTTTTTATATTGCATATTAATAGAAATGCTAATACTAATAGGAAACCCCTTTTGCTCCCCCAAGGGAAGAGAGACCATTGGGTCAGAGGCAGTTCTCTTGCTTTGAGTCCTTTAACAAACCCAGCTGCCAGCTATGCCAGTCTCTCCAATTGCATATGTCCCAGTACAGTGTTTTTTAAGATGACAGGCAAATCAGTTATTACCTCATTTTCTTTATTACCTAGTATATAAATGTCATGTAACTATTTCAAAATAAAAAACAATTAAATTTAGAATTTAAGTGTTTTACTTTCTGTAAACTTTTTTTTTTTTTCTTTTTGAGATAGGGACTTACTCTGTATCCATGGCTGACCCAGAACAAAGAGTTCCTTCTAGTCATCTGCCTGTGACTCCCAAGTGCTGAGATTAAAGATATGTGCCACAAGGCCCAGTGTGAAAGTGTATGTTTTAATAGGTAATACGTAATTGGTAACTCTTGAAAAATAGGCTTCCTTGGATTATGCATCCAGAGATCATATCTTCTTTTTTAAAAGATGATTTTCTTTTTTATTGAAAATAAAAATTTTTCATACAATATATTCTCATCATGTTTCCCCTCCCCCAACTCCTCTCAAATTTTTATCTTTAATCTTAGCATTTAACACATTTTGCCATTCTCTTTGCTCCTAGTTTGAGAACTTATGAGGCAGATTTTATCATACTGTAGACATTTGTGCCCTTGTTACCTAATAGATATTTGGTAAATTCTGTTATTTAATGACTTGACTTTGATAGTGATCAGTTTTACTGCTCTGTGATTTTTTTTTGTTTCTGTAATTTTTTCTTCCTCCAGCACACAACTGTAAATCTTACTGTTCTAATATAATTGAGTTCCATAGTTATTTTAGATTGGTCATAATGTATGTGGGAAGACTCTTGGTGTCTGTGTATAGGAAATTTCTAAGTTTGAGACCTCTGTAATAAAAGACAAATGAGATGGGCTTATTTAATACACAGTCTAAAGAAAGAAGCAGGGAAACATGTTATTCTCACTTTGAAGAGTCCTGTAGAAACAAGCGGGTGTATACCAAGGGGAACCCAACAAGGCCTGAGTTCAGATTTCCTGGAGTCTCCATTTTCAGAAATGGGGATCTATCTTTTTCCTCCGGGCCTAAGAAGAGACTCTAGCTCAGTGGTCCTCAACCTTCCTGATGCTGTGACCACTTATTATAGTTCCTCATGCTGTGGTGACCCCCCAACCATAAAATTATTTTGTTGCTACTTCATAACTGTAATTTTGCTACTGTTATGAATTATAAATATCTGATATGCAGGATATCTGATGTGCAGCCCCCAAAGGGGTCACAACCCACAAGTTGAAAACCACTGCTCTAGCTAAAGTGAGTCATGCAGACTACTTTAGAAGGTCAGAGAATTTTTTTAAGGAAGAAGGCCAGAGAGACTTTCTGCATCTGTTTTCTCAAATGCCAGGATAGAACATAGCACATCTTGAGCTACATCAGTAATAGGTGGTCACAGGAAGGAAATCTACTCTTCCCAACTAACTTTGAGGCATTGAAAAATAATGAAAACATTTCTAAAATCAAATTATTTAGATACTTGCAATCACTTAAGCTTACTTTTAGGAGAGTATGGTTTATCCATTGCTGTCAGCTGTAGTCAAGTTATTGGCTATAAAACATAATGGTAACTTGGAGGCAAGCTTGGTGAGAACATTAGTCTTGTTTTAAAGATGAAATAGTATAAACCTATAGTAGTGTTGTAAAGAATTACTTGGGGTATTTATCTGCTAGCATCAACATGCCTGTATATTATTGAGGTACTGGTGAATTACTAAAGTTTGAATTGTCACCTTGTGAGAACTGTGTCCATGAAGTAGCATCCAAAGGAGTACCTGGCAGTTACTTGACTGGAAGCTGACATCCGTTTTCACTCATTGTGAAGTAGTGATTCAGTGAATGAATTTTCATGTATAAATTCTGCTTTGAACAAAAGATGCCCTGAGCAACAGATAGACTGAATTAGAGATGGAACCTGAGAATAAATAATACTTTCTAAAATAAGTGAAACTTGACCACTTTGGTTTAAAATTTCATCGTTTCTCTGCATTGCAGGTTAGATCGGCTAGATTCTCTTTGACAAGCTAGAACTTGGATTTCCGCTTTAGAGTGAAAGTGAAAACATTCTCCTTCTCCTAATAGCTGACACCTAGCACATGGCTGTCCCAGAAGGTGAAGACAGTGCGGGCTCTACCGTCAGCCTTCCTTCCTCCAGCTTCCCTCCCCAGTGTCTGTCTTTGCTGCACGGTGACTCAACCAGTGAACCTAGTCTTACAACAGTACTTTCAAAATGGCCGTATAAATTCATAATTGCCTTAGTTATTTACAAACTATTTGGAAATGTAGGAATTCTTTGACCAATTTCTAGGCTGAAGTTAGGATAGCTAATAATGATTAAAATCAATTGGTAGATGATTTTCTAAAACCAAGTAGAGCCAACTTTATTAATTTGTTTTAGACTACTTTACTTTTAATGGAAATGTTAATTTTATATTTCTAAATTTTCAGGTAACTTCAGTTTTTACACCTATAACAGCTGAAATAACAAGTCTTGATTCAGAGAATATAGATGAAATTTTAAGTAAGTATCTTGATTTTTTTTTTAAAGTATGTTTTCTCTGTAAATAGTTTATAAATAAAATTTTAGTTATCTACAATAGTTAACAAACTGGCATTCTGGCTCATTTCACTGAGTTTATAAAAGCACTTTAGGTTTTGATTATTAGTAAAATTTCTTTAAATGTGTGCCTTCTTTTCTGGCTTGTAAGACTTGTAACTTTTAGTTTGTTTGTCCTGGTGTGGATACTATTCCTGACATTACATTAGGTGATCTGCTAAGGCCCTGCAGTTTCCGCTATACACTACTAAATATTAAGATACCACTTTAAATTAAATGACTTGTTCTCCAATCTCTTTGATAACATTGACTCAGTTAAGTTCAGTAATTGTTGTATTGAATGTATTGTTTGCTGATAGTGTGATTTTAGATAGAATTAACTTGAGATATTCAGATTTTTGCAGATACTGAAAGAAAGGTTAATGCATGGTTGATTATAGTACAGGAGATTTAAAAATATGTGCAGTGTCCAAAAATTCTTTTCTTTAAAAAATGAACAAAAAATCACCATGTCACTGATTTGCATATGACCAAAACCGAAAGTACTAGAGATAAAGAGGAATTAAAAGGCATTAATTAAGTACCATATGTTGTTTTATGTTCATGGAACTTTAAATGTCAAAAGAATCTATTTCTACCTCATGAGCTCTCTGGAGCAATATCTATATACATGGTATCAGAAAGACACAGAGGGCTAATTAATATCTACTGTGTTTGGCCAACTCCCATGTTCCTGGCAGAAGCTGCTGGACTGCACCTAATTTGCATTTCTGTAAATTCCTGGGTGATGGAGCTTCTGGTCCAGAAACCATTTTGTGAATCACAGCTTGAGTGAACAGGCAAATGGACCAAAAATGTGTGAGGTAAAGGAAGGAACTTGAAGCATGTGCTATTCTCCTCCCTCTTACCTTCCAAATTTTGGAACATCTTTGTGCATTAGTTTTGTGAGTGCTGGAAGAGTTTTAAGTTTCTCTGAGTGAGGTTTAATCAAAAGAAGCAGTACTGTGTCTTTCCTGAATCATTACATCCTAAGATGCAAACAATAGTGAGATTTTGGTGTGATAGAGTATTATGTGGGTAGGAACTGGGAAAAGTGGATTTTATAATGCTTCAAGGTAGACTTCTGAGAGTGAGAAATAGTTAACTTACTCAGACTTCTTCAGCTAAAGATGATTCTACTTGCAGAGCTGGTTCCCAGTTACTATGTGTATAGAATATTTAAAAATGTATTTTTGCCGGGAGGTTGGTGGCACACACCTTTAATCCCAGCACTCGGGAGGCAGAGCCAGGTGGATCTCTGTGAGTTCAAGGCTAGCCTGGGCTACAGAGTGAGTTCCAGGAAAGGCACAAAGCTACACAGAGAAACCCTGTCTCGAAAAACCAAAAATAAAAATAAAAATGGATTTTAAGCTTTAGACCATCCAACTTTATGAGAATGGATTGCTTAGAAATTGATATGCCCAGTCAGGATTTGTTTTCTTTTTTTGCCTTGTACTCATTTGAGACACAGTGAAAGTATTTCTATCAATCAAGGGTAGAGAGAGTGTTAAGTTATATATAAGCCAGCCTTGCCATATGTATGGCCTTCTGGGTGAGAGGTTATTATAATTGTGGATATTTAATTGGCCCTTTATAAACAGGAAAAGATCATGCTGAAAATTATATCTTTAAATATGTTGCATAGACTCAAATAACTTTGGTTTTGTTTTTTAATTTCAGATAATGCTGATGTTGCTTTAGTAAATTTTTATGCTGATTGGTAAGTAATCTTGTTTTTAGTTTTGGGTTTGGTTTTCGTACCCCCCTCTCTTTTCTTCTACCCTTTCTTTCTTTTCTATTTTTCCCTGCCCACGAGAAGAGGGCATAGGTTGGAAGTCAGGATTTAGGTGTGGCAAGTTTATAAAAAACATGTTATATTTTCAACTTACATACTTTCTCCCAGGAGGCCTGTAGTTCTTGCTCTGGATCAGATCCTGTCTTCTGTGTTTATATGATATTAGGACCATTTTCTTCTTTTCACTTCAGGTTGATTTTCCCTTTTCTGAAGTGCTTTGGCTTGGAAGTGATTTGGTGTGTTTTTTTGAATATGTACATAGGCTTTTAGTAGTTGAGTGCCTCTAAAGTCTGAAGTATTCCAAAATCTGAAACTGTTTACCATTTGCAATTTCAGACTTTCAAATTAGAGATGCTCAACTTAGATACTGTTTTTGTTTTTAAATTTGTTTGTGCCCTACCAAACAGACTTATTAGTATTCCCAGAATCTAGAACATGGTGTTTAAGTATGCTAAAGAATGTGTGATGGAGATAGGAATGAGGGAGAATTAATTGAAGAGTGGTTTGAGACACTGGCATTATTGTTTTTAACCATTCCCTAAAAGACTTATTGCCTGCCAGCTGCCACCACCCTCTTTGGGCTAGCTCTCTGGTCCTGCAGTTTCCTTAGTTCCCTGTGACTTCCAGTCTCTTCCTTTGTTTTCTGTGCCTTTCGTTTTACATATGTCCTCAATATTCTCTGCTGGGTAAGTCAGAGTTTGTATATTATGTATTTATGTTTTTATATTATGTATTTCCACAATATTCTCTGTAATATAAGGCTAAGTTCTTCCCACAGTGCAAATGATTTGAGTTTACACTCTTATCTTAAACTTTCCAAATCTTTGGGTTAAGATTTAAACCCCTTGCCTTGACCTTCAAGGCCTCTCATGATTTGCTCGCTTGCGTCTCTTGCTTCTTTCTACTCCCATGTTCTGCTTGTCACACCAAACTTCTTTCAATTTCTGTGAAAATATGTACTCTCCTGTGTCTTCCCAACCTGGATGGCTCACTTCTTGTTCTCACATACTTCTTTATTTTGTTAATCATCTTTAATATTAGCCTGAAGTGCCACTTTTCTTCGGGTCATCTTCATGTATCAGTGCGCCTACCCTTCTGTCAAATCAGACTAGGAAGCCTTGTACAGTGTCCAGTTTGCAATAATTTAGCATATGGCTTTCTAATTTTACTATTGTGTAAAAATTATATGCATTCAATAGAAACTGGACTTTAAATTGTTACCTCTGTCTGGGCTAGTGACAAGCAGTATATATTCCCTCTATGGTGGACTGTGGTGGCAATGTCTAGCTCCCAGCCAGCCAGGTGATTGTGAGGGTGAAAAACTGATACTCTGCACTGTGCTGTTTCTGAGCTGTGCCGTTTGAAGGGTAGGCATAGTTAATACATTTTTGCCTTAAGATATTTTTAGTTCATGTTAGATTCCATGGACTTAGTTCTTTTGTAAGTTAAGGAGCATCTGCATTTCTCACAGCTCCACTCTTACCAGCTGTAGCTCTACACATGCTACAGTCTAGTTAGTGATTCCCAAATACCATCTTTGCTTTGTGGAGATAGTTACCATAACTATACTTTAAAATGTCATCCTCAAGCATTTTCAAAATACATGACTCATAAGTACATAACAGTGTCTCTTGAATCAGTGTGTGGATGCATGATACAGGTATTTAAAAAACTTTAATAAAAAGTTGAAGATTCATAGGAAAATACCATGTATATGTATGTAAATGTGTAGTGGAGGTAGCATTTCTAAAGGCAAATTAGGATTAATGTTAGTCATAAAGTTTGGTAGAGACTATCTAGTCCAATTTACTTTACAGATAAGGAAACTCAGATCCAGAGGAGCAAAGTACTTTCCCTGTGACCTGATCAGATTGTAGCACAGAACAAACTAGAATGCAGTGCTCTGGACTGAGGAATTCTGGCTATTATAAGAAAGCAGACTAGGACGTGCAAAATCTGATTTGGAAATGTGGACTAGTAGTGGTTATTTGAGAAAACATATTACCTAAAGAATGTCTTATACTATTAATGGTAAATTGCTGCTCTTTTTTTCAACTGAGAAAACTTGGGTAATTTGCTGGTAGCTTTCCGGTGTTTTCAAAGGCTAGATAGACTATTCTCTCTGAAATTTAGTTCTCTTATGTAGCTGCTGAGAAGTGCTATAATACCTCAGAGAGTAATAAACCACAGTAGGTACTTAGTAATCCTGTGAATGTGGCAAGCTCTACATATATTGCTCTAAGGCTCAGGATTGTCCTCCAGGTAGATATTGTAATTTCCATTTTAGATTGAGGAAGTTGAGGTTCAGAAAGGCCATCTGTAGCCAGAAGAAATTTTAGCTATAGCCATCTGGCTAGTAAAGTGTGGATCAGGGATTTAAAGCCAGCTATGTCTAAATCTAAAGCTTATTTCTCTTCCATTAGATCATAATAGTAAATGTCCCCAAAGTGTCTCTGCAAGACTGTTACCTCTGTGGTTGATTTGTTAAGGATTATTTAAGCCTTTGATTGAAGATTGGATTCAGAAGACCATGAAAGTCTTTTAGTGGTTCTATTGCTTTTGTGGTGTTACCTGTGTAAATGTAGCGTTTACATGCATACGAAGGTGCGGTAATACTAGAATTTAACTGTGCAGCTGTTTTCTTCTTCTTTTTTTTTTTTCAAGACAGGGTTTCTCAGTAGTTTTGGTGCCTGTCCTGGATCTCGCTCTGTAGACCAGGCAGGCATCGAATTCACAGAGAACTGCCTGCCTCTGCCTTCCAAATGCTGGGATTAAAGGCTTTACGCCACTGCCATCAGGCTAGAATTGAACTGTAATTTCACCTTCCACTTTAAACTTTTAGTATTCAAACGGATACTGTTTTTAATATGAATCTGCTTAAAAACTTAACTGGACAGCCCAGAGAGGAGTCCTTGGTGTGAGACCTCCTTTGCCAGAAGCCTTCCATCTGTTCTTGACTAGGCCCTAGCTAAAGATCTCAGAACCAAAAACCAAACCCTGTCTCTGCCTTCCCCTGCCCTCTGCCTAGTCTATTTCTAGAATTTTTTTAAGTCCTCGCAGACCTTGGGTTCCAGCTGCTTTAGTTCTTGAATTTATCAGCTTGCTCCTTTAACAGAATCTATTGAACCGCTTATTAGAATATGTAGTCAAATAAGACACGGTCCATGATGTCCACAGACCCTACCTATCCCAGACGGGAGACTTAAGATGCTAAAGAGGAAAGAACCACTTGAAAGCAGGAGTCTGAAGATACAGATTGTGTCTCCTTGATATATTCTAGGACATCTCCTTAGGAAGTCAGGTGAGTAGGCTAGAGAGAGAAGCAAGAAGATATAGGGAGGAGGTGTAATTCTACATCCTGTCATGTATTCGTCACTGGATTATTGCTAATAAATGTAAAATCACATGGATTAGAATTTATGGGTTTCTTCAAGAAAATGTCTTGGTGCATAAGGGTTCTACAAACAATAGTAGCAATTATAGTACTTTACCATATCCTCAATACCTTTTCCCCTGAAATGTCCATTTTTCCCAGCTGGTTGTATGATGTGTACACTATTTATCCCCTTAGCCCCCACCACCCTTAGGTCCCTTTAATCACCCATAATATGTATTTCTGAAGTTGTTGGCCAAGTGAGGGGCAGCTCGGATTAGAAGTAACAATTTCCTGTATTACTGTGGCTATTGTGTCCCACTTTTAAATAGGTGGGAGAGGGGAAAGTGGTCAGGGAGTCCGTAGGAATTCGAGCTTTTGCTGCTGGACATAGTCGGTTTATATGTTTGCAGAGATAATGGCCTATTTTAATGTGCAGATATATTTTGAAGGGAAAATACTCATTATATGCCACATATTCTTTTAAAAGAACTGTTTTATTTAGTATGTTAACTTGTGTCTGAGATTGATAGAGTAGCTCGGTGGATTGATCTAGCATTTGCAATAAACTAAGAGTTTGTACAATAATATGGAAATATGTTCATTGTTCAGAGAAAGCAAATTTCTTCTGTAAACACTCAGATCTTAACAGTTACAAACCCAAGCAATGTAAGTTAGAGGGTATGCTGCAGGCTTATGTCATGGCCTCTGTGAGATCCATAGCTACATGTACCATAACATTGGTAGTTAATCATAAGGCAGAACAACAAATCAACTTAATAGTTTATACAATATTACATTAGAGAGTACAATCTTTAAATGCAAGTTGGTTTCCTCTCATTCATTGACAAACATCAGAAGCATGGTTAAATTGAATGTGTGATTGTCTCACAAGTTTTTTATTGTACATATATTAAACATCAATGAATGATAACTGAAGTAAGATCCTGTGCCTTCTGCATTTCCCTGCTAATTGATGTGCTTGTCTGTGTGTAGGTGTCGTTTCAGCCAGATGTTGCATCCAATTTTTGAGGAAGCATCTGATGTCATTAAGGAAGAATATCCAGATAAAAATCAAGTAGTGTTTGCCAGAGTTGATTGTGATCAGCACTGTAAGTAACTAAGTAGGAAGTCTGGAAGAAACTGTTGTGTTCCCTACTCTGCACATGCACCCTCGCTGCCCCCTTTTCAGATGCCCTGCTTTAAGTGAAGACAAAATCTTAAAGGGTCTGGAACCTAAAATACCTTTCTAATATTTCATCTTTTATGTCTTTTTAACAAAACTCCATTTTGTCTATGTAAAAGATATTTATGTTTTTGTTTTATTTTTAATTAAAACGTAGCAGACCAAGTATATAGGTAGCAGCTAACTACATTTTCTACCAAAGCAAATACTAAAGTCAATAAATATAATTGAACTATAGTTTTAGAAGACAAATTGAGATTTTTATTACTCTTAGAAGCATATAAAAATATCATAATAGTCAATTTAAATAAGACTAAAATTATGCAAAAATATATACTCATTTTAAATAAGACAGTATCAGATTTTTGTGTTTCTGTTTATTTTAAGGATTCTGCTAAGACTGGCTTTGTGTTTAAAGTGTAATTAGCTGCAGTTACTATGATAATTAATGAACTATTACAAAAACTTCAATTAGTCTCTCTGATAATCTGTTTCCTTGCATTTTATTTGTCTCTGTGGAATGCACTCTGTAAAATCTTTGTGTTTTTTAATATAAATAGCAGTGTTTTCTAATGGAACAAGTGAGCTAGCAGTTAGTGCTTTGTCCCAAGTACCCTGCTTACTGTATTCCAGCTTCCCTTCTGGGAGCACCCAATGAGTTGAACTTAGTAGGTCTTGTGTTGAGGTCTTAGCTGTTTCATCAGCTGCACTGGGAGTTCTTCAAGTCAGCATTTTCCTTTTTTCTTTTTCTTGATACTCCCAGTTGTAGAGATTTAACAACTTACTAATCTCTATATGTCATGCATTTGACAATTTCTAGAAGACAACTCATGAAAAGCTTGTTTGCATTGAGTTCTTGGTAAGTTATTGTATACAAAGTGTTCTCCTATTCTACAAATTTCCTGTCCTTTATACTTGATCTACTGATTGCAGTTCTTCTGCTCCTGAGCACCGTGTTCTTTCTGTGTGTACCTCTTTGTCTCTCTCTCTCTCCTCCTTCCCTCCCTATTTCCCTCCCTCCCTCTCTTCCTCCCTCTCTCCCTCTTTCTCTTTTTTTTCTGTCTCCATTTTTCCAGGTAAAGAAACAGAAATTAAGTGGCTTAACCAATGTTGCACAGCTTAGTGTATATTAAGCCGGAATTAGAAAACTGTTCTGACCAGTGGCCACAGAGAGCAGTTTTGTTCTTTCCTGTTTCATTCAGGGAGCATTTTGAGGATTTGCTAGCACTGCTCAATGCTGGGTAGAAAAGCATTTTCTAACAGCGTATCATTTCAAACTATTATAAGCCACACCCCATATTTCTCTTTGTTAGGACTCACAGCTGGATTGAATAAAGAGGGCAATAAAAAATTGTAGGTACAAGCATACATGATGTCTGCACACTGCTTTCTGGAGTACTTGCCTCTGGTCCTTTCTCTGATAGAGAGCTTGGCATACTTGGTGTGGCCTTAGTGTTCAGATCTTTCTATTCTTTTTGTATTTAATTAGATGTTAGAATGCAAATCTGAGTTCCTGAGTCCCTGCTGGCGCTAAATTTGAACCACTGTGCTTTCACACTTGCAGTCATGGGGGAGAGAATTGGTTACTTCCACTGTTGAACCACCTATGTGCATCATTTGCACTATCTTTTAAACAGATTAATTCATACAATAAATAAATCTCATTATTATGAGTTCCCTTTTTTAATTTAAATTATAAAATTATTTCTTTTTTTAATTAAGAAATTTTTTCATTCATTTTACACACCAATCAAAGATCCCCCACTTCCCTCCTCCTGCCCTCCCAGTCTCCCTCCCCCCCACACCCCACCCCTCACTCTCTCCCACAAGAAGGCAAGGACTCCCATGGGGAGGCACATCCAGTAGAGGCAAGTGCAAGCCCTTCCCCCTGCATCAAGGTTGCATGAGGTGTCCCATCATAGGTAGTGGGCTCCAAAACGCCTGCTCCTGCACCAGAGATGGATTCTGATTCTACCACCAGGGGGCCCCCCAAGCAGATCAGGCTGCACAGTTGTCTCACCATGCAGAGGGCCTACTCCAGTCCCATGGAGGCTCCACAGCCATTGATCCAACTTTCATGAGTTCCCACTAGTTTGGTTTGGTCATCTCTGCAGGTTTCCCCATCATGATCCTGATATACTTGATTATAGAATCCCTCCTCTCTCTCTCCTACTGGACTCCTGGAGCTCTGCCTGGTGTTTGGCTGTGGATCTCTGTATCTGCCTCCATCAGTCACTGGAGAAAAGTTCTGTGATGACAGTTAGGGTATTCACTGATCTGTTCACTGGGGCAAGCCAGTTCAGTTCAGGCACCCTCTCCACTATTTCTAGTAGTCCAAGCAGGGGTCATCCTTGGGGATTCCTGGCAACTTCCCTAGTACTGGGTTTCTCTCTATCCCAATGATATCTCCCTCCATCATGGTATCTCTCTCATTGCTTTCCCACTTCATCCCTGTTTCCGCTCGACCATCCCATTCCCTTATGTTCTCATCCCCTATCCCCTACCCTCCAGTGCCCACCCCTTACCCCCAGTTCACTTATGGAGATCTCATCTATTTCCCCTTCCCAGGGTGATCCATGCATCCCTCTTTGGGTCTTCCCTGTTAGCTAGCTTCTCTGGAGTTGTGGGTTGTTGTCTGGTTATCCTTTGCCTTACTTCTAGTATCCACTTATGAGTGAGTACATACCATGTTTGTCCTTCTTAGTCTGGATTACCTCACTCAGGATGATATTTTATAGTTCCATCCATTTGCCTGCAAATTTCATGATGTCATTGTTTTTCTCTGCTTAGTATTACTCCATTGTGTATATATACCATATTTTCTTAATCCATTCCTCAGTTACGGGACATCTAGGTTGTTTCCAGGTTCTGGCTATTAAAAATAATGCTGATATGAACATAGTTGAGCATGTGTCTCTGTGGTATGATTGAGCATTCCTTGGTTATATGTCCAAGAGTGGTATAGCTGGGTCTTGAGGAAGATTGATTCCCAATTTTCTGAGAAACCACCATACTGATTTCCAAAGTGGCTGTACAAGTTTGGACTCCCACCAACAGTAGAGGAGTGTTCCCCTTGCTCCACATCCTTTCCAACATAAGCTGTCTGCAGTGCTTTTGGTCTTAGCCACTCTGACAGGTGTAAGATGGTATCTCAGAGTTGTTTTGATTTGTATTTCCCTGATGACTAAGTATGTTGAGCAATTCCTTAAATGTCTTTCAGCCATTTGAGATTTTTCCTTTGAGAATTCTCAGTTTGGTTATAGCCCATTTTTTTTTTTTATTGAATTGTTCATTATTTTGATGTCTAGTTTCTTAAGTTCTTTAGATATTTTGGACATCAGCCCTCTGTCAGATGTGGGGGTTGGTGAAAATCTTTTCCTATTCTATAGGCTGTCATTTTTGTCTTATTTACTGTGTCCTTTGCCTTACAGAAGCTTCTCAGTTTCAGGAGGTCCCATTTATTAATTCTTGCTCTCAGTGTCTGTGCTACTGGTGTTATATTTAGGAAGTGGTTTCCTGTGCCAATGCATTCAAGACTACTTCCTGCTTTCTCTTCTGTCAGGTTCAGTGTAACTAGTTTTGTATTGAGGTCTTTAATCCACTTGGACTTGAGTTTTATGCATGGTGATAGATATGGATCTATTTGCAATCTTCTACATGTTGATGTCCAGTGATGCCAGCACCATTTGTTGAAGATGCTTTCTTTTTTCCATTGTACAGTTTTGGCTTCATTGTCAAAAATCAGGTGTATAATAGGTATGTGAGTTAATGTCAGGGTCTTCAATTCAATTCCATTGGGCTACATGTCAGTTTTTATACCAATACCAAGCTGTTTTTATTACTATAGCTCTATAGTAGAGCTTGATATTAGGGATAGTGATGCCTCCAGAGGTGGCTTTGTTGTACAGGATTCTTTTAGCTATCCTGGGTTTTCTGTTTTTCCAAATGAAGTTGAGTATTGTTCTTTCCAGGTCTGTGAAGAATTGTGTTGGGATTTTGATGGGGATTGCATTGAATCTGTAGATTGCTTTTGGTAAGATTGCCATTTTTACTATGTTAATGCTACCTATCCATGAGCATGGGAGATCTTTCCATTTTCTGACATCGTCTTCAATTTCTTTTTTTCAGGGACTTAAAGTTCTTGTCATACAGGTCCTTTACTTGCTTAGTTAGAGTTACCCCAAGGTATTTTATATCGTTTGTGGCTTTTGTAAAGGGTGATGTTTCTCTGATTTCTTTCTCAGCCCATTTATCATTGTATATAGGAGCGCTACTGATTTTTTTGAGTTAATCTGGTATCCTGCCACATTACTGAAGGTATTTATCAGCTGTAGGAGTTCCCTGGTAGTATTTCTGGGGTCACTTATGTATACTGTCATATCATCTGAAAACAGTGAAAATTTGACTTCTTCCTTTCTAATTTGTATCCCCTTGATCTCCATTTGTTGTCTTATTGTTCTAGCTAGAACTTTGAGTACTATATTGAATAAATATGGGGAGAGAGGACAGCCTTGTCTTGTTCCTCATTTCAGTGGAATCACTTTGAGTTTCTCTCCATTTAATTTGATGTTGGCTGTTGGCTTGCTGTAAATTGCCTTTATTATGTTTAGGTATGTTCCTTATATTCCTGATCTCTCCAAGAGTTTTATCATGAAGGAGTGTTGGATTTTGTCAAAGGCCTTTTCAGTATCTAATGAAATGATCATGTGGTTTTTTTCTTTCAGTTTGTTTATATGATGTATTACGTTGACCGATTTTTGTGTGTAGAACCATCCTTGCATCTCTGGGATGAAGCCTACTTGATTATGGTAGATAATTTTTTTGATGTGTTCTTGGAGTCAGTTTGCTAATATTTTATTGAGTATTTTTGCATCAATGTTCATGAGGGAGATTGGTCTGTAATTCTCTTTGTTGCGTCTTTGTGTG